CCAGAGTGCTGGGATTAAAGGCTTGCACACCACCAGTGCTCCACAAATAGACTTTTGAGACAAGTTCTCTGGTATCCAAGGCTGGTCTCAAATTTGCTGTGTGTCAAAAGATGACATCTTGCCTCCACTCTGCCTGAACTGGACCGCCAGGCATGGACCACCCACCAGGCATGGACTACCTACCCGTGCACGGCTACAGATAGGTTTATTTTAAATATTAGATCGATAAACAAGTGAACAAGGAACCCTTCCCTTGATTTCAGCCTGCCTGGTAGGGAGGTTGCTGGTGGCAGGAGGACGGGATTACTGAAGGTCAGCTTGGGTGCTCCAGCTCATTGTAATTTTATCAGCGCTGGGAACTTACACCTCTGCCCTCCTCAGGTTACCCAGTGCAGACCTCACCTTCATGCCTGTCAGTGAGGGCGGAAGATCCACTCTACAGACCACTGTACCATGGTGGCCTTCCCGCATCTTCCGCTGGCAGAGGCGCTGGTTCGCAACCCTCCAAGGGCTCGCTTTGCAGCTCAGCAAATCATCAGTTGCTCCAGAAGTAAGGCCCAATTCTCTTCTCCTCCCCAGAAGCAAGACCCACAAAGCCGGGAGGCTGCAGCACGCCTTGCAGGCAGTTTCTTCGCCGCCTGCAGTTTAGACAGCTGCCATTAATGTTCCTGGAAGCCGCTCTCAGAGCTGGCCACGCTTGGCTGGGTTCTGAGTGCTGGGGAGTGCTTTTCTCAGAGGCTGCATCCCACTTGGGGCCCAAGAGCAGACAAAATGTGCCTGTAATTAGTGGCTTCTCTGGTGTGCTGAAGCCTGCTCCTTGCATCTATCTCTTGCAGCATGCAAATCTATGCGATGCCCCATTTTCATGAGCTTGTGTCTCAGAGAGCTTCTATTTCTGTCCCATAAAGAGACAAAAGAATCCAGTTACAACCTGGCTTGGTGACAGATACCTATGAGCCCCTCACTCAGGAGGCTGAAGATGATCAGGAGTTCAAGGCCATCCTCAGCTTCTTAGAGAGTTCCCTGGCAGCCTGGGATACATGAGGCAGGGTCTCAAATAATAAAGCAGGGGCTGGAGAGATGGCTCAGAGGTTAAGAACACTGACTGTTCTTCCGGAGGTGCTGAGTTCAATTCCCAGCAACCACATGGTGGCTCACAACCATCTGTAATGAGATATGGTGCCCTCTTCTGGCTTGCAGGCATACATGGAGGCTGAACACTGTGTACATAATAAATAAATCTTTAAAAAAAATAAATAAAAATAAAGCAGGGGAGCTGGAACTGGGAAGACAGCTTGGTCAACAAGGTATTTACAGTGAAAAGTTGTCCTTTGTGGGTATATGTGCACACACAGAACACACACTAATAATAATAAATACATAAATTAAAGCCAGGCATGGTGATTTGTGCTTGTAACCCCAGCACTGGGGAGATGGAGACAGGTGGATCCCTGGGACTCTGTAGTTAGGCAGCCTAACCTTCTAGCGAGTCCCAGGCCAGTTCCAAGACCCTGCCTTAAAAAATAAGGTAGGTAATACCATGGGAATGACATCTGAGATTGACCTCTGGCCTCAACATGCATTTGTGCACACTTGCGCAGACACCTCACCATATATACACGGCACACACAAGGAATCAGGTTACATGTATCATATAGATAATATGTCTTATGAGGGGGAGGGGGATTTGGTGAGGATTGTGTGTGTGTGTGTGTGGGGGGCTATTGTTTTGTTTTTTGAAAAAGAGTCTCCATCTGGGCTAGAACTCCCTATACAGATCAGGCCAGCCTCGAACTCATAGGAATTGCCTCTGCCTCTCCAGTACTAGGACTGATGGTGTGTGTCACCACACCTAGCAACTTAGTGTTTTGAGACTGGACCCCATTATGCAGCCCCAGGCTGTCCTTGAACTCATGATTCCCCTGTGTAGGTGCTGGGATCTAGACATGCTAGCTTTAGTAGCTTTATCTCTTGGTGCTAAATGGTTCTTACCATTGTGCTCATCTTGTTTTTCTGAATACTTGATATTTGTCTGATTAATATATTATCATAATTAAAGAAATTTAGCTAGCATGGTATTATAGACCTGTAATCTCAGTTACTCAGGAAACTGAGGCAGAAGCATTGCAAGCTCAAGGCTTCTAACAAAGAGAGGGTGTGTGTGTGTATGTGTGTGTGTGTGTGGTGTGCGCCTCTTGGGAGATGGCTCAGTGGGTCAAGCATTTCCCATGATAAGTATAAGACTGCAGCTCACAGCCGGGCGGTGGTGGCGCACGCCTTTAATCCTAGCAGAGGCAGAGGCAGGCGGATCTCTGTGAGTTCGAGACCAGCCTGGTCTACCAGAGCTAGTTCCAGGACAGGCTCCAAAACCAAGGAGAAACCCTGTCCAGGAAAAAAAAAAAAAAAAAAAAAAAAAAGACTGCAGCTCACACGCCGGGCGGTGGTGGCGTACACCTTTAATCCCAGCACTCGGGAGGCAGAGGCAGGCGGATCTCTGTGAGTTCGAGGCCAGCCTGGTCTACAAGAGCTAGTTCCAGAGAAAGCTACAGAGAAACCCTGTCTCGAGGGGGAAAAAAAAAGACAAAAAAACAAAAAAAATGAATATATGAATGATGTGCCATGTGTGCACAAAATTCCAAATACAGAATGGGTTTTATTTTAATAGGAAAGAAGGTGCTAAAATGTACACAAGGAATTCAAATGGTTTTCTTGCTTTATTTTTAAGTATGTTTGTGTGCATACACACATGTATTTAGAGATTAGAAGTCAACTGCAGGTGTCATTCCAGACTATTCACTTTCGGTTTTGGGGTTTTAAGATTTCCTTTTTTTTTTTCTTTTTGGTGTGAGTGTATATACAGGTGCCTGCAGAAGTAAGAGGCATTTGATCGCCTGCAGGTATTTAAGGGCAGTTAATGGGCTGCCTGGTGTGGATGCTAGAAGCCAAACCCTGGTCCTCTGCAAGCATGGTACACTCTTTCAACCGCTGAGTCACCATCTCTCCCCCACACCTTGCTTTCTGAGACAGGGTCTCTCACGTTGTTGGCCTGAGTTCTCCAAGTAGGCTTGGCTGGCTAGCCAGCAAGCTCCAGAGCCCACCTGCCTCTGTCTTCCCAGAATTGGGATTACAAACACACACCACCACAGCCTGCTAGGGTAGGGTGTTGGGGATCAAACTCAGGTCCTGCTGCAGGCATGGTGAGGATTGACTGTTTTGAGACAGAGCCTGGAGTTTGAAGCAATCCTGATTTAGCCTCTTGAGGGCTGGGATTATGGGTTTGTCCGGCACACCTTCTTCAGATGCATTGTGGGGGATGAGGAGATGGGTCAGGAGGTGACATGCTTGTCATATAAGCATGGAGACCTGAGCTTGCACCCCCAGCACCCAATAAAGGGACAGACTTGGCAGCATAGAGAAGCAAGGACAGAAGGATCTGGGACATTTAGACAGCCAATGCAGCCCAAGTGGTGAGCGCCAGGTTCCATGAGAGACCCTATCTCAAAAACCAAGGTGGGGAGAGATTGACACTTGATGTCAGTCTCTGGTCTTACATGCACTCACATGTATGCATACACACACACATACAGAGTACTTCTGAAGGTAGTCTTCCTTAAGGAGACAGGAGTAAATCTTACTTTTTTTTTTTTTTTTATAAAGCAAGGATCCCATTTTGTAGCCTAAACTGGTCTCAAAATTTCCTCCTTCAGCATTCCTAGACCAGAATTATAGTCTTGAGCTACCATGTCCACCTGTCTGACCCTTCCCACCTCTCTCTCACCTTTCTCTCTCTCACCTTTCTCTCTCTCACCTCTCTCTCTCTCTCTCTCTCTCTCTCTCTCTCTCTCTCTCTCTCTCTCTCTCTCTCTCTCATCTCTGCCTCCGAAGTGCTGGGATCAAAGGCGTGCGCCACTGCCTGGATGAGTATGAGAACTCTTTGCTTCTCATCCTAAACAAAACTTGGTGCTGTCTGCTTTTTTCTTTCTTTTAAAAAAAGATATTTATTTTATGTGTATGAATGTTTTGTTTGCATGTATGTATGTGTGAACCACATGCCCATGGAAGTCAGAAGAAGGTACTAGCCCCCCCCCCCCACCCACAGGGTTTCTCTGTAGTTTTGGAGCCTGTCTTGGAACTCCTTTGTAGACCAGGCCGGTCTTGAATTCACAGAGGTCCACCCACCTCTGCCTCCCTGAGTGCTGGGATTAAAGGTGTGCACCATCATCGCCTGGAAATTTAGCTATTCTTATGGGGATTGACTTTCTTTTTTTTTTTTATCCTTTTCCTTTTCTCTATCCCCTACCGTCCATTTTTCAATCTCTCCTAAAGCTCAAACTCAGATCTCTGTATGCTAGACTTAAAAAATATTTTTTTATTTATGTGTCTTCATGAGTTTGTGTGTAGCATGTACGTGCAGGTACTTTCAGGTGTCAGAGAGAGTTAGATCCCTTGGAGTGACAGGCAGTTGTGAGCTGCCAGATGTGGGGGCTGGGATCCAAATTCTAAGAATAGCTAAGTGCTCTTAATTGCTGAGTCATCTCTCCAGACCCCCATGCCCCACACCTCCCCCTTCACTCTGCAGCCCTGGCTGGCCTGCCACTCCGAGATCCTCTAGCCTCTGCCTCTTGAGTGCTGGACCTAAAGGCATGGGCTACCACACCTACCCAACATTTAATTAATGGATGAGACAGAATCTCTTGTAGCTCAGGCTGGCCTGGAACTTCCTAAGGAGCTAAGGAAGACTTGAAATTTTGATCTTCCTTCTTCTGCCTTCCACGTGCCGGGATAACAGGCATGTGATCTACCATAACACACTACTGTGTGCTACCTACCATGCCTAGTTTATGCCGCGGTGGGAATCGAGCCCAGGGTTAGGCACGCGAGGCAAGCACTCTGCCACTGAGTTACATCTCTGGCTGTCCTTGTGGTTGTCATTGTTTCCTCCTGTGCTCGTTATTTTGGCTCTGTGACAAATACCCAGGAAAAACAACTTAAAGGGCAGAAGTCTTTATTTTGGCTCATGGTTCCAGAGATCTCAGTCCATTTGGCTCTGTTGATTCTGGGCCAAGGGGGAGCAGAACATTGAGGTGCTGGGTGGTGGTGGAAGAGGAGGAGGAGGAGGCTGCATCAGAAAGCAAGCTCGGGCATAATCTTCAAAACACACACCTAGGGCTGGAGAGATGGCTCAGAGGTTTGGAGCACTGACTGATCTTCCAGAGGTCCTGGGTTCGGTTCCCGGCGACCACATGGTGGCTCACAGCCATCTATGGTGAGATCTGGTGCCCTCTTCTGGCATGCAAGCATACATGGAAGGAATGTTGTATACATAATAAATAAATAAATCTTTAAAAAAAAAAAAAACACACACACACACCTAGTAACCGGCTTGCCGTAGCTAGAATTCACCTCTTAAAGCTGCTACCAATTCCAGAAGCACCCACCAGTGGGGACCCAGGCCTTCCACACATGAGCCTCTGCGGACATGCCACCCTCAAACCACAGCCATGGGGCCAGTGAGATGACTCATGAGATAAGGCGCTGGCCCTGCTTTCCCGCCTGACGGCTTACGTGGAAGGAGAGATGTGAACCCACAAAGCTGTCCTCTGGCCTCCACACACGGGCCTGGCGTGCGTGCACACACGTTCACATGCGTACCACGTACATACACAGTCATAATAAATCAAACATTAGAAATGCAGGCGTGGTTGTACACACCTTTATTCCCAGCACTTGGGGAGTTGATGTAGGCAGATCTCTGAGGCCAGCCTGGTCTACATGGTAGTCTCAGGCCAGCCAGGGCTAGAGTGAGATCCTGTTTCAACACAAATAACAAAAATGCAAACAACAAAATCCACAAGACTTCATTTTGCTATGTGGTTCAGGCTGGCTTTGAACTCTCTATCTTCTTGCCTAAATGTTGAGATTACAGGCATATTCTGCCCACACCTTGCCTGGCTACTTGTTTTCCTTACCTTTTAAAAATTAAATTTGTTGGGAAGCCAGGTGCAATGTTGCAGGCCCAGTATCCCAGCACTTCCTAGGCTAGTGGAGGCAGGAGGATCGGAAGTCAGAGGCCAGCCTTAGCTACATAGTGGTTTGAAGGTAGCTTAGACAGGGTGAGACCTTGTCTCAGAGCAACCAAAACCCAAACAAAAACTCCAAAATCAAAAAACAAGTGAAAAGTATTGTTTAAATGCTTATGATGCATTTTTTTTTTTTATTGTTAGGTTTTTCTCAAGACAGGAGACAGGGTTTCTCTGTGTAGCCCTGGCTGTCCTGGAACTCACTGAGATTCGCCTGCCTCTACCTCCTGAGTGCTGGGATTAAAGCCGTGCACCATCACTGCCCGGCCAAGATCATACATCTTTTATTTTACCCTCATGTCAGCTCCCTTGGGAAGGGGCTGCTGTTACCTGGGTTTTCCTTGTTTGTTTTATCAGAGTGTTACTCTGACTGGCCTAGAATTCACTAGACCAGGCTGGCCTTGAACTCACAAAGATCTGCCCGTCTCTGCCTCCAGGGCGCTGAGATTAAAGACTCACACAACCAGGGTTACCATGCCCCAGTGTGTTTGTGTTAAATGTGTTTTGTATGTGAGAAATTGACTCTGAAGAAGTCAAAAATAATCTCTTTCTCCTTCCCCCTTACCACCTCTCTCCATTCTCCTTCCCTCCCCTGCTCAGGAGCCTCCTAGATGCTAAGGACTGAGTCTGCCACCTAAAGAATTTCTTTAAGAGCCAGGCCATGGTGGTGCATACATTTAATCCCAGAGGCAGTGGCAGAGGCAGGGGAATCTCTACAGCCTGGTCTACAGAATGAGTTTCAGGACAGCCAGGGCTATACAACAAAACTCTGTCTCAAAAAAAAAAGCAAAACAAGACAACAAAAAAGAATTTAAGAACACGCTGTGAGACTATTGCAGGGCTCTGACCTTCCGGTCCCCCAGTCTGGTAGAAGCGCGGTCCCAGGAAGACAAACACTGGAACTGGTGAGACAGACTCAGTAAAGGGAACTTTATTCCAGGTGTACAAAGAGGAACGAAGAGCCCTGCTATGTTGAGGTGCTGCTGAAAAGCACAGGTTGGAGTTGGACCTTTGGACAAGTCACCTTATGATATTGGCACCTCTGATGGTCCCGATCAAGATCTGTGGGGCTTGTTTGCATACCGTAAATGTCCAGAGGGAAACCCGGAGGGGTGTGGAAGGCGCTGAACGGCCAGTCCTTCCTGGAGGCCAGGGGTGGGTGGACTTAGTCCCCTTCACCAGAGGAGAATTGGACCGAAAAGTCCCTGCTCTGGAGACTGCAGAAGGCTGAGGGCATTGCCAGCCCCTCCTCCACCCCAGCACCTAGACCTTTCTGTCAACCTTTCCGCATCTCTACCCTGCCCCCTGGATCCCGCAGAAGGAACTGGAGTCCAGGGCTTAAAACTCTGAATAGGCCCCAGCAGGGCAGGCGTGGGATGGGCTGAAAACATTGTTTGTTTTGAACTACTAAATAGAGCCGCCCAGGAGGAGGGAAAGGAGGAAGAAGGAGGGAGGAGGGAGGGGAGGAGAGAGTGGGAGGCTAGAGAGGAGGGAAAGGGAAGATTAATTTGCTGCTTCGGCTCTAGGGCCCTAGTTGAATGAAGCCTGCCCACGACACCTCCTGTCCTCCTTTGGGATCATGTGAGGGGTTGGTGGCCTTGGGGCATCCACGGTAGGGAGCGAAGGCTTAGGAAAGCTGAGGACCAGAAGCCAGGTCCGGGTGAGGATGAGCAAGGTTACTCACCGCTCCGGGGCTCTGGGTTCTGGAAGAAAAACCCAAGGGTTGACCCCCTCCAGGTCCCGGTGGAGCTCAGTCAGGTTCTTCCAGTGCCGACTCAACAGTGCCACCTGCCGACCGGGCCCTCACTGCAGGGCAGGCCTCCCCCACAGCGCTGGGACCCGTGGGTGAGTCACTGCTGGCTTGGGTCCCTGGTCACTCCAGCTGTCAGATTTGAAAATGTCGGCAGCCTAGGAAGGAATGTTCCGAAGCGGCAGGGACTCTGCCTTTCCGGCCACCTGTGCCCCTCATTCTACCCTGTGCTCTGGGGACACTGCTGGTTCTAGCTAGCTCTGGCTGGGAAAAACCAGAATAAAATCTCTAACTTTGGGAGATTCTTGGCTTGGATTGCTTTTTTACCTTTTTGTCTGCAGAACTTGGGGCCGGAGTGTCTTGAACTCAGGACTTTGCACATGCTAGCGAGTGCTTTGCCGCTGAGTACATTCATAGTCTCTTTAGCTTGGTTGTCCTGGAGCTCACATTGTAGATCAGGCTGGCCTTAAACTCACAAGAGATTCACCTGCCTCTCCGTCCTGAGAGCTGAGACCTAAGGCCCATGTCATCAGGCAAAGGCACTTGCCACCAAACCTGTCAACTTGAGTTTGACATCCCAGGTACTGCGTGGTGGAGGGAGAGTACAGACTTCCTGGCTAGTTGTCCTCTGAATTCCCTACCTGTACAGTGCACGTGCGTGTGCATGCCTGTGTGTGTGTGTGTGTAGGGGGGGGGGATGTACATGCCACAGAGCACACGTGGAGGTCAGAAGACAACTGTTGGAGCAAGTTCTCCCCTTTCACCAGGTAGGCCACAAGGATTGTACTCAGGTCATCAGACGATGACAATGACCTTACCTGCTAAGCCATCTTGCTAAGCCTCTTCCTTCCAGTTCTTTCTTGTGTGTTTGTTTGTTCTTGTTTTTTTTTTTTTTTTTTTTCCAGATAGGGTTTTTCTGTGTAACAGTTTTGGCTGTCCTGGGACTCACTCTGTAGACCAGGCAGGCTTCAAACTCACAGAAATCCTCCTGCCTCTGCTTCCCGAGTCCTGGGATTAAAGACGTGAGCTTTCACACCCAGCTTCCTTCCAGTTCTTGCCCTTGCTCCTAACATGAGGCTCTGATGATGTGGCTGATCTTGCCCTTCCTGCCAATCCTGTCCCCTTCCAGACTCAGATTCCCACAATCCCTCGTTAGCCCCACCCCCTCATTGGGGTCGTGTCAAAAGTGGTGCTTCTCCCAGTAGGCCACTGCCACTGTGCTGTCTTCCCCAGAATCGCCATTCTCCTTCCTATCAATTATTCCACCAAATGTCATTCTTTTTTTATTTTTTATTGATTTTTATTGAGCTCTACATTTTTCTCTGCTCCCCTCCCTGCCTCTACTCTTCCCCCTTCAACCCTCCCCCAAGGTCCCCATGCTTCAAATGTCATTCTTAACTGTGAAGTCCTCCCAACCACCTAGGTAGACTCTGCCCTTACAGCAAGGCAAAAGGTATACATTCGGTTCTCCCAACTGTATCCTTCCCCATAAGTAAGTAGTCCCTTGGGCATCCTGCTTCTGCTAGACCACCAGAGCCCAAGAGAATTTATTCGTTTTTGGGGAGAGGGTGGGAAAGAGGTCAGGCTGGCTTTAAATTCACTGTGTAGCTGAAGATGAACTTGACTCCTTATCCTCCTGTCTCCACCTCTCAAGAGCCAGGATTCCAGGCCTATTCCTTGGGGCTCCAACAGAAGTTCCTTTCTTTCTTCTTCTTTTTCTCTCTCTCTCTTTTTTTTTTTTTTTTGGTTTTTCGAGACAGGGTTTCGCTGTGGTTTTGGAGCCTGTCCTGGAACCAGCTCTTGTAGACCAGGCTGGTCTCGAACTCACAGAGATCCGCCTGCCTCTGCCTCCCGAGTGCTGGGATTAAAGGCGTGCGCCACCACTGCCTGGCAATGGAATGGTTTCTATCTGCCTTGTACAGTATGGTACCACAGCTCACAGGGGCTGTTGAGCACTTGAAATATGACATACTGTGGCCAAAAACCTGAATTTTAAATTTTATTTCATTTGAATCATTCATATTTCAATAGCCAGGGGCTAGAGAGATGGCTCAATGGTTAAGAGCACTCACTCTTGTTGAGGACCTGGGTTCAGCTCCCTGCACCCAAATGGTGGTTCAGGACCATCTATAACTCCAGTTCCAGGGGTTCCAAAACCCTCTTTTGGTCTCTCTGAGCTCTAGACACACATATGGTATATACTCATACATTTAGGTAAAATGCTCATATTCACAAAATAAATAATTTTTAAGAAAATTTCAAGGCCGGGCGGTGGTGGCGCACGCCTTTAATCCCAGCACTCGGGAGGCAGAGGCAGGCGGATCTCTGTGAGTTCGAGACCAGCCTGGTCTACAAGAGCTAGTTCCAGGACAGGAACCAAAACCAAAGGAGAACCCCGGTCTCGAAAATCAAAGAAAAAAAAAAGAAAATTTCAATCATGTGTCTAGTTGTGGGGAATGAAGGAAGCCTTGGCTATGTTAAGTCCTGAGTGAATGTGTGTTGTTGACTTGGGCACAGCCATGTTAAGGACCCACTCCTGAGCCCCTTCCCTTGTGGATGTTGATAGCGTGCGCTAGGATAGAACTGTCCTCTATTATCCTCCCCAAAAATTACAGCCTGAGGACTGCTCCCCTCCAGAGGCTGCTCTCTCCCCATGGCTGCTCCCCTCCAGAAACTTCTTCCTTCCAGAGGACTGCTCCCCTTCAGAGGTTGCTCCCCCTCCAGAGGCTGTTCCCCTCCAGAGACTGCTCCTCTCCAGAAGCTGTTTCCCCATGGGTTGCTCTCCTCCAGAGGCTGCTCTCCCCTGCAGGTTGCTCCCCCATGGGCTGCTCCCCTCCAGAGGCTGCTCCCCTTACAGGCCGCTCCTCTCCAGAAGCTTCTCCCTCCCATGGGCTGCTCCCTCCAGAGGCTACTCCCCCTACAGGCTGCTCTCACCTGTGTCCTTGATCCAGCTGTTGACCATAAACTCCATCTCCTTGTTTACCAGATGCAATAACCCCGCCTCTCTGTTCAACTCTATATAATAAACATGCAGGGCTTCCAAGGTGGTGCAGTTTCTGCATCAGAGAGCCCAGTTCTCTCAGCGACCTCTCAACCCCTGTGTGTCTCTGTTTCCTCACTCCCTCACTACCCTATCAGGTCTGTCCCTGGAGCTGGGCAAACAATGCAAGAGCCAGTGACTACCATATTGGATAGCAGAGGAGTAGGTTATCCTAGGCACCTGGGCCTACACACGGGCGAGGAGTGGGCCTGAAGTTAGCCTGTGTTCACACGGACCTCTCCTCATAAGGCAGGGCGCCCTTCACAGAGAGGCCTGGGTTTCTTTTCTTTCTTTCTTTCTTTCTTTCTTTCTTTCTTTCTTTCTTTCTTTCTTTCTTTCCTTCCTTCATTCCTTCTTTTTTCTTTTTCTTTTTTTTTTTTTGAGACAGGGTCTCTCTATGTAGACCAGGCTGACCTTGAACTCATAGAGACCCTTTGCTTCCTGAGTGCTGGGATTAAAGACATGTACCACCATGCCCGTCCCTGGGTCTATTTCTTCCATATCTCCCCGATTCCTGTCTCTGATACGCCATCTTCTTGACTGTGGACCAGTTATCCGGTCTCCCTGGGCCCAAGATTTTCCATCTGTGAACAATAGGGCTGCCTTATTTGTTTTGGGCTGCTATAACAGAATACCCAAGGCTGTTTATTATTGATCTGGAGATCAGCGCTCCAACAGTGAGGGCTGCCTCTAGTGAGGCCTTCTTACAACGTGGGGGAAGCCATGACGTGGCAAAAGCATCCATAGGGCGCTACGGCCGCCCCTTAACAGGAACCTCTACTGTGATGACATTTTTGCTTTGTCCACGAGGAGTCTGTTTTAACCGCCTCTTACAGTTCCACTTCCCAAAGTCGTGCTGAAGATCAAGTTTCCAACGCATGACCTTCGGGGGACTCATTCAAACCAGAGAGAGGTTAATATTAGCAGTCTTTGCCCCTTACTCTGAGGACTACCTTAATGAGATGCTTCCCTAACGTCTGTGTGCAACAGGCCTTCCATAAAGGTTCATTCAGCGTTTACTAACCCTCTAGTGTATGTCGAGTCCACTACACATGACCCTCAGCCCTCCTCCGCGCAGCCCAGCAGCTGAGCACGTGGCAGGCCATGAGACACATCTACACTAGTTTCTGTGAGATTCAGGGTTCAGGATGGATTAGTCCTATTTTCCTGTTCTGATTGTGGTGGCAGAGCTGGTTAAGGCAGATGGCACACACCTGTAATCTCTGCACTCGGAGGCTGAGGCAGGAGGATGGCAAGTGTGAGATGTGTCACTGAGAAAGATGTGCCACCTGCCTCCGAGGGTGACGGTTTCAGAGATTAAGACATTTCATTTTCACATAGCAGAAATAATAAATTAAAAAAAAACCCCGACATTTCACTTAAGGTTAGGATTGGGGGTTAAACGGGGTGTGGTGGCGGCTTCCACAGATAACCCCACTTGGAAGGCTGAGGCTGAAGGATGGAAAATTTGAGGACAGTCTGGGTGATACAGTGAGACCCTGCTTAAAAAAGGAAGGAAGAGGAAGGAAGGAAGGAGGGAGGGAGGCGAGTGAGTGGGTGACAGATAGCTCAGTGGTTAAAGCACTGTCTGCTCTTGCAAGGGGCCCCAGGGTTTGATTCCCAGCACCCACATAGTAGCTCAAACCACCCTCATCTTCAGTTCCAGGAGATCCTCTGCAGACACCAGACAGGGGTGTGGTTCATATACACACAAGCAGGCGAAACACTCATACACAAAAAGTAAAAATTCAAACAAACAAACCGAAAAGGTCCATTTCTGGGGAAGCTTGTTTTTTTTTTTTTTGTTTTTTTTGTTTTTTTTTTTTCCTGCTTGATCAATCAGTTCAGAGGGAGGTGGTTTAAATCTCTTCTGTGTTGTTGGGCGGAAGCTCTTGTGCATGCTAAGCAAGTGCTGTACTATTGGGCTCCATCCTCAACCGTCATCTTTTTATTTTATTTTATTTTTGGAGTGCTTGGATTAAAGACATGCACCATGATACTT